TGTTAAGTTGACTCTATGAATGAGTGATCACCAAAAAGGTCCTGTCTTCAACAGCCTGGCTCAGCTTATGTAGCATAAAGCCCGTGGCTTCCTTTAAGGGCTCTATCCATCTCATTTTTGTCTTTTCCTGCTGCCTTCAACCTTTCCCAGTACAGTATTGTCTTTTCCAGAGAATCCTGATGATGTGCCCAAAATAGGACAGCCTCAGTTTCAACATTTTTTCCTCCAGAGATAGTTGAGGCTTGATTTGATCCAGGGCTCACTTGTTCTTTGCTTGTGTTTAATTAATATTATAATATATTAATTAAAAATAATTTAAAAGTTAATACAGAGGCCAAATTTCAATCCAGTCTTCTCTTTTCCAAGAGGAAAGAGGCATATACCTCCCATTTACAGTTAATTTATCCTATGTAGTGCAACCTTGACTTTATGAATGTACCTGTACTGTGACTCCCAGGAGCTGTAGCTAACAAACCTAAGAGTCTATGATGCTTCTCAAAACTTTGGGGAATTAGACTGTAAGGCTACCAGGAACTACAGAGTTGGGAACCACTGCTCTATAAAAAGCAAGTTATCCCAATTATACTTCCTCAGCATAATACTATGAGAAGTTCTGAGTGAAAGTATAGGCCTGATCAGAAGATAGCTCACAATGTTGCTTTGTCATAATCTGATACAGCTACTGAGGCCATGGCAATCAATTCCTCTTGCCCCCAAACTAGTTCAGCACCTGAAAATAAATTCTGGCTCTGGCTTCACATGGATCATGTTTGCAAAATGTTTTTCTAAAGCAAAACCAGAGCCCGGATACTTCCATCCAAGCTGAACTTAGCTCAGTTTGCATGGCCCATGTTGAATTTTAAGAACTTTTTTTGGCATTGGTCCAAAAGTAACACAGTCAACATATTACTTTGAACATACTATTTCCAAGCTCTGCTTACTCCTATTCAGTCCACTTGCTTTCAGAGCGGTTCCTATGCTATTGTGTAGTTTTAACCTCCATTTCCTTTGAACCACCCTCTTTCTTGATTGCATGCCTCAGTTTACCCCTTAACTTTACAACCTTCTTAAAGAATTCGCTGTGAATTGCTGAAGAAGGAAGTCAGGCTTTATGTGTGATGTGCACCCAGTACATCCTCTGTACTCCATTCCTATGGAGTGTGAAGGTTTGGAGACAGGCTCCAGTCATGTTTGGTTGAAAGCATTAGGACCATTTTCTACTCCAAAGAAATCATGATGGTTCAGCTCCTGATCATAGGCATGATCCTTAACATTTCCAGTGAAATGATGGTGAAATATACCATCTCCTTATGGACCTTCCCTTGGTGCTAAATATGTGAAGGTTGGGAACATGTATGGCAATGGTCACCAACCTTGGGACTCCAGATGTTCTTGGACTATAACTCCCAGAAGCCTTCACCATCACCTCTGATGCCCAGGATTTCTGGGAGTTCAAGTTCAAGAACATCTGGAGGTCCAAGGTTGGGGACCACTGATGTATGGAACCTTCTGTGAGTATGTGTTTTAAACAACAAACCAATCATTCTGAGCTTTGCAGAGAGCTGTGCTTTTCAAAGGGAGAAAACAAGCATAGTTTACACAGGTATTTTGTGTAAATTATGAAAATCTTATCAAGAAAAGAAATAGCACTACTTGTTTTTCTCTTCTGTGGAAGTGAGGAAACTCACAAGAAGTGTGCCATCAAATTGATACACACGAAGTCAACAAGCATGAATAATTTACTGTTTTTTTATAGCATGCCTACCAGCTGGATCAGTCTTAATATCTTCCACTCGACTTTAAAAGTTGCTTTGCCAAATGACAACATGGTATTTCATTTCAGGCCTAGCCAGATGCAAGTAGTGCAGAAATGTAGCCCCTAAGACATGTTGCTTAATAGCAAATTATTTCTGAAAGTGGATAGTAAGCCTGTGAGGCTGCCTGGGTTGATTGGGGCCAATATTGTCAGACGTGTGGCATACATCTTTGATATAATGCAAAGTTATTTGCCACCAGGAGTCTTTTGAAATGCAGACCTTAGAATTCGAGCTGTGCTTACTCAGCATTCAGAACATGCATTTCATTGTTTAAGGGCACCTCTACATGCTGTGTCTGTATTTCAGGCCTAGTTTTTTAACTGTCTTAACCTCAAGATTTCTAACAGCTACCTGATGAGAAGTTCTAGAGAACTAGAAATTTCATCTTTTGTTTTTGGATGACCCAGTCACTATACATGTATTGCCCAATCTTGAATTTTCTTCCAGTTTGTCTGTTCCAGAGCATCTTTCCATTTCAGGTTCAGAGAAGTCAGTAGTTGGTACTGAGCTATCTTGGACAAGAGGGTTCCTTATTATTCAAACTAGTTTATAATTTTTACTTCATTACCCTGGGTTCAGGCCTGAAAGAACTATGCAGATAAATGCTAGAAATTTAAATCTCTGAGAGCATTCTTCCCCAGCCTTGTGCCCCCAGTGACATTGCCACAATTCCTCATTCAAAATGGCCAGTGGTTATTCTGGCAAAGAAGAGAAGTTGTAGTCTAATACATCTGGAAGATTAGACATCTACCTGTACCACCAATGCTAAAATTATTATTTTAAAAATATTTCACCATGAGAAAAGGAAACCCACTCATTAGAGATTTTTTTTCACTTACAAAACCCTGTATCTCTATCATCAAGAGTACAGCTGCTCAAGACCCTGGGCAGGTGGGCTCGACAACATGAAATATGAAATGTTCCATGGTTCTGAAATGTCTGTAACACTGAGATATTTGTATGTGTATGCAAGCTATTTAACCCCCCTTTAAAGATATTTGAAAGCTAGAAATGTGCGTCTAGAGCTCTTGTTGAAATAGAATCGGAGCTGGAAGGGCAAATTCCCTAGACCATCCCAAGACATAGCAGGTGTTTATTCATCCTCTTACTAATAACCTTTAGGGATTCCATGACTTCTTGACCAGTCTGTTCAACTGTCATGCTTTTCCATTATCAGTTTGGACTGTTCATAACTATGTGATGACCCCAGCTGGCCACTATTTTAACTGAGTTGGATCTGTAGTAAAGAAAGTGTCCCTCTTATCTCCCACATCTAAAGCATTATGCTTCTGACAGTATGCTCAAAATAGCACTTTCCATGAAATGCTATCATGTTTCTGTCATGCTGTGATATCATGTCTCTGTTTCCAGATTCTCATTCATGGAACAATATCATCCCTGTTTCATTTTCCTTCTCAGTTTTATATTTCTAAATGTAGTGGGTTTTTTTTCTTTAGTCAAAGTTGAAAGGGGGTTATTGTTGTTTAGTCATTAAGTAGTGTCCGACTCTTTGTGAAGGGGGGTAAAACCTCCAAAATGTTTATATAAACTTGACAGTGTGAACATTGTGCAGCTTACATGTATACTGCATATATATTCATAAAATGCTCATCATATAGATTGATGATGGTTAAATTTAACAATCATGCTGACAGTGAAACAATGTATAGGTATCAGTAGTATGAAATATGAATCATACATTACTATGAGTCTGCTGGTATGGGCAGTCTCTGTGATTTTTCCACCTTAGAATAATTGTCCATTGCTTTCTGATGGGTTCATGTACCAGAGAATTCCTCAGTTTAGAAAGCAGAAATCATGCTGCTATGCTTGGAGCTTTTTTCCACTGGTCTTGTTTATTGTACTTCCCAAATATAGGGAAAGTGACAGACCACACTACAGAGTTTTTCTCATGTATTGTAAGGTGGGGATCTGTTAGTTTTAGATGGATGAAGGTAATGGAGGTGATGACACCTACTACTTTCAGGTGAATCCCACAATTAGCATTTCATAGAGGTTGGCTGATGTTCATGATGAAAACTTTCATTTTGGTTTTGTTTCAGGTTCTTTCAGGGGTGTCTGCCTCTTTTGTTGGTGTTTTTCATGCACCAGTCCTTTTCTTTAACATGAAAAAGACTGGTTCTTCTGGGTTCTTCTGCTCTGTTCTTCCCCATTCATGTTTTCCACTAGTCCACCCCACTCCAATTTACTTGATGAAATATGTGGTAGCCAATTTACTTGCTGAACTAATTGCCAATTAATTTTTAAAAAGCTTTTAAAATCCATTTGTCAAGTCAGAAGGTCTGACACTTGAACATCTGGACACAGTTTGATGTGCATGGTTATTGAAACTATTTTAAACAATGTTCCTATATTTCTCATTAGCATCACTCCATTCACCATTTACTCCTGAAGGAGGCAGTTTGCAGATGAAGTGAAGGATGTTGGGGGTGGGTAGGAGGTGGGCAAGAGCTAATATTGTACACAATAGCTTGGAAAAATTGCACAGGGTGATGGTAGGAACCTCTTCTTCAAACTGCAATATCCTAAGAAAACAATGTCCAAGATCCAGTGCAATGATTCCATTAATAGAGCCATATCTGCTGTCTTCCTCCACATTTCATTGGAGGAAATGTGGAGTGCAAATACAACTAATTAATGAAATGTTAACTACAGTAACTGTATCTAACTAGGGTCCTGCCAGGGGCTTAACTGTTTTTTATTTTCTCATGGTACTTTTATTTTGAGTTATGGACAAACAAATAAAACTGATTCATCTCTGTCTTAATAGGAACAATTTATTTGTGTTGTACTTATAAGGGGAGCTGTATGTATAATGGCTGCCATATGCGTTCCTATGGGGCCCCAAACTCACCGTTCAGCAAAGTTCCTCCATAGCGCCGCCATTTTCTCACCCTCAGTAAGTGAGGGCGGGGCGTGAAAATGGTTGCGGTGGCCATTTTGGAACCGCTGATCAGCTGTTTAAAAAACATCGCAATGTGAAGATCGGTAAGCAAAACACTTACTGATCATCGCAGTGCGATGTTTTGCCATTGAAATTGGATTCGTAGTTAAACGGTGCGCTCGTTAAGTGAGGCACCACTGTAAACTCCTTTCTTTCTTTTGGAATCTTGCAGAACAATTTTAAAATGCCACATGCTGTTTCTTTACTTTTTAAAATAGATGACAGCATTTCTGCAGCAAGCACATCTGATGTTCAGGACCGCCTTTCTGCTCTTGAGCTGAGAGTTCAGCAACAAGAAGATGAAATCACGGTGCTGAAGGCAGCATTGGCTGATGTATTGAGACGACTAGCCATCTCTGAAGATCATGTTGCATCTGTGAGAAAATCGACACCAAGTAAAGGTAAGGCAGGTCTGCTCTGGTGTGCATAATTTTCAGTTCGTGATGCCAGTTTGAGCCTGCATACATGTATATTAATGTTCTTAAACTTAATATAGGAGTGCCTTATCAGTGTACACAGAGAATGTCAAAGTTGCGTAGGAATGTTAGATATTTCCCCCTATGACCTTATAGTCTTAAGCACACAGCCTAGAGATATGGCTGAGAATCTTCTGTGATGCATATTGATTCTGTGGCTGGCAACCAACTGTGTTTTTGGGTAGCAAGATAATGTGGCAGGTCTCTCAAGGAAGAACGACTGGAAATCATTAGGAGGCTGAGAGCTCGTTTATGAGCTATTCTCTTCCTGTAGTTGCTGTTAAAAATATAAGGTTATATGAATTCATCATGTACCTCATTGTCTAGCCCTATAATGTGTGCCCTTGGTTGAATAATTAGAGCTTGGAAAGGTTGTGTGAATATAATTGTCAAAAATCTTCCAGTGAGCAAGGGCATTGATAATGCTTGTTGGGGGATTCGGAATTGTAGTTAAGGAAAAAAAAAACTTTTCCAAACTTTATAGGACACTGTATATAGTTCTGGCCACCACACCCAGAAATTATATTACAAAGATGGGAAAGATGCAGAAAATGTCACCCATAATGGTTAAGGACTACAGCCACTCTCATGTGAGGAATGCTTACAATGATTGGGGTTGTTCAGCATGGAAAAAAGACAAGTAGTGACAGTCATGATACAGATGTACAGCATTATGCAGGATACAGAGAAAATGTTGTAATACTAGAATTCTGAGGTAATCTCCTGAAGCTGAATGGTGGAACATTTGGAACAGGTAAAGCAGGATGGAGTTGATTTAAACTAAATTTGATTTAAATCAAATCCTGATTTAAATAAAACAATCAGATTTTTTGATGATTTAAATTTTAAAAAAAGGTTTTGATTTAAATTGTGACTTAAATCAATCTGATTTTTTTTAAAAAATCATTGATTTTTATCCATCCTGAGATAGAACAAGTATTTCTTGATACAGCATCTAGTTAAGATGTAGTACTTGCTACTTAAGATAGTGATGTCTACCCATGTGGACACTTTTAGAAGAGGAATTGACAGATTTGTGGAAGACTAAGACTGTCAATGGCCACAAGTCTTGATATAAATTCACAGATCTACAGTGGTACCTCGACTTGAGAACGTCCCTACATAAGAACAATTTGAGTTAAGAACGACTCCATTCGCAAAAAGTTGCTTTGACTTGAGAAAGGAGCCTCGACTTAAGAACCAAAAAGAAAAAGGAAAAAAAAAGAAAGGAAAAAAAAAAACTTTCCTGCCCCTTTTTTGACCTAAGTTCACCTTAGGTCAAAAGAAGAAGAAAAAAATTTCCCCCTAATGGTAGATACCAATTAACTGGATTAAGAACGGATTAAGAACAGCACCTTGATTTAAGAACGAAAAACAGCAGATACGGATTAAATGGTTTTCAGTGCATTCCTATGGGAAATGGTGCTTTGATTTAAGAACGTTTCGACTTAAGAACGCAGTCCCAATATGGATTAAGTTCTTAAATCGAGGTACCACTGTACCATCTGAGAAGGCTGGGAATTGAACCCGGGGCTTTCTTTGTTTCAAATGTGCAACATATCCTTCCCCATATCATGAGAAATGTTTACAGTGAAGAATGCAGATGGGAGATATCTGGAAAGCATTATTTTATAGATGGAAAAAGAAACTTGTATTTCCATGGGGTCTAGTGGCATGTTAAAGATTAGCAGATGCTTCATGCCATATTTTTTCATGGGCCAGAAACCATTTCATTAGATAAGAGAAAATGTCCATATGGGATTGAAAGGTTCACAGGTCCATGAATCTGAATCTGGTGCTCTCTCTCTTTTTTAAAAAAATCAACAGATTCTTTGTGGGTATGTTGCTATATAGGCTAAGACAGCTAACCCTTCTGGAATTTGTTTTGCAAGATAGTCACCAACATGCTTTTAGGAGTGGTGAGAAATGCTAAGCTGCCTTCATGACTGGAAAAGCTTACTGGCGGTATTCCATAGTATCCATTGTCACCTGTACAAGAAGAATGGAGAAAGAAAAACTCAATCAGCAATTTCCAGAGGAAGTATTGAAAGCTTTACCAGAGACAGAGGTGTTAGTTCCTTATTTAACTTCCGATTTAGGTCAGGTACATGACCAACAGGAAATTAAGAAAATACCAAGTAAAAACTAAAGCACATATTTGGGTATGGTGCAAATCATCATAACCACCTCCACCACTCTGTTGCCAGGTACTGTAAAAATTGGTTTTGAAACCTAAAGCTGCAAAATGAAGTTTGCTGATCTTTGAAGAAATTGAAGTGTCTTCCCCAGAGATATTGCAGTTCAGAATATGGTCAAAATGTAAATAAATCACTTCTCCCAAAGGGAGTATGTGAGAGGTTTTTGCAGAAATAGGTAAGGGGCAAATTAATACTTTGCTATTAGAAACTGTTAAAATATGTCTGCTCTGCCTACTTATTAGGAATATTGCTATTCAAAATACGATCAAAATTTAACCTCTCAGCCATCCTCAAAGAAGGAGAATGTGAGCAAAAATGATCGTTCAAATAATAATAAACATATAAAACTTTATAAATGACTGGAATTGTACAGGAGTTCTAACACGGAGAAACAGGTGTAAATCAATCATTTGTACTTAACATACGGGATTTTTGTTATTGCTTTTCAAAATGTGAAACATTCTGAGGAACCTTACAAATATCACCAAGATATCATGATATAAGAACAGTACAAATTTAAATTAATTTAATTGTTATTGAAACATTAAATCCTACCCTGTTTCCCTAAAAATAAGACTTAACATGAAAATAAGCCCTAGTATGATTTTTCAGAATGCTTGCAATATAAGCCCTACCCCAAAAATAAGCTCCAGTAAAGTGAAACCCTGCCCTCCACCATTGTGCAGCAACCATGTATTTGAATAAATGTACATGAAAAAAATAAATATCCCCTGAAAATAAGCCCTAATGCGTTTTTTTTGGAGCAAAAATTAATATAAGACCCTGTCTTATTTTTGGGGAAATATGGTATTATTCTGAAGCTCAGACAGAAAACACAAAATATAAATTTGTTAAAAAAAAAAAAAAGATGGAGGGAGAAACAAAAACGGACAGACATCAGTGTAGGAGATAGGTTGAGCAGTTACAAGCCAATTTTTTACTTTCTCTTACTGCAGAGTTTTTTTTTTTAACTTAAATGAATTGGCATGATGGCTAGCAGTGGTAACAGGAAAGGAAATAGCACTTACATGACTTCCAGTAAAAGGAGCATTTTCAGAAAGGGAATTTTCTAGAAAAGGCAGTACTGTACTGTACTTAGAAAGTAAGAATAAGAGTGTAGGAGGGAGTGATGTACTACTTGGTTTTTCATTCAGCCTGATTTATTTATTAGAGCTTTCAAATATTTAAGAGAATATGCTTTTGAAATGATGATTCTCAGCTATACCCAGTACAAAGAGTGAGAGTCTTTAATCAACTGTGCAATTTAATAAACTGTTGTATGTGATTTCTAAGACTTTCTTGCTTCTTGATCTCCTTTCTATTCTTTTTTCTAAGTTAGTGAGCTATCTGAATGGACCAGTCCTTGGAAATTGAACTTAAAAATTAATGATTTTCAAGTACATTTAAGAACAGCTTTAGAAATTGAAAATCCCCTTGAATGCTGCATAACATTCAGAATTAGTCTCATCTGATTTTGGATGCTAAGCAGGGTTGAGGCTCAGCTAGTAAGTGGTTGTGAAGCCACTAGGAAATGCCAGAGATCTCTGGGTAGAGTTAGGAAAGACTTCTTCTGGCCCTGGAGAAGTGCTGCTATAAGGCTGACTTTATGGTCAATGTTTCCTTGTACCTACACTGACCTAGTCAGACATGAGTTGTGCCTCACAGGGAAGAACATGTTTGCTATAGCAAACATAGCTGGGAGGTTTCTAAACTGAATTCTGTCAAGAAAAGAGGTGGTACTCCAAAGAGGGAATACGGAAAGTACTGAGAGAAATGGTCAGTAATACACCAGAACTGGGATTATGGCTCAGTGAGTTAGGTATCTGGCTGCAGAGTCAGAGATTGGGAATTCAACTCCCCACTGTGCCACCGTGGAGAAGAGCCAGCCCGTGTGGCCTTGGACAAACTGCCCCCAGCCCCAGGATGCCCCCCCTCCAAAAAGGGAATGGTAAATCACTTCTGAGTACTCTCTACCTACAACACCTTGCAAATAATGATCATAAGTCAGAATTGACTTGGACGGCACGTAATTATTATTGTTAGTTATTAAGCTACCAATGGATGAGAAAGACAATAAGGAAGCAGCTGTAGTGAACGGGCCATCGTTTTTAATGTCTCTATACAAATGCACTGAGCAGAAGAAAGCAAACAGGATGAACTTTACCTCTTAACATGAGAAGGCTAATACAATTTAATAGGTTTTACTGAATGCTGGTGGACCAAATTCATAATGAGAATGTAATAATTGAAAGGTATAGCATTCTAAAGGAATAGACCAAGCAGGAAAGAGGGAGAATAGAATTTTATGCAAAATATGGATAAATCTGCGGAGAAATCCATGAATTGGCACATGGAAAGCTAGCAAAGAATGCTGGATAAAAAGTGAAGGTCAGGGAAACATCAGTGACTTTATTTGGAGGGCTAGAGTCTGCTAGAGACCTCAAAGCCAGACTGAGTACTTGAATGGTGGCTTTGTGGACTAGATTACCAGACATTGAAAGAGGACAGATAGTAGAGAGATAAGTCAACCATACATATATCTTTTAGAAGACCTACTCTACCGATGGTAAGACCGAACAAATTCCTCACTTAAATGGCTGACATTTTCATTTTCTGGAAGAGATAAAACAATTAGTTGTCTTGGATCTGATCCTCAACAACAGAGAAGTGCGGATCAGTGAGACTGAAGTGGTGATAACGTCTGGTGGAAATCACCACCCTGTCTGA